AAGAACTTGGCTAAAAAGTCTCATGTTAGTGTAGATGGAGACAGAGAAAGGAAAGCATATTAACATAAAGGGTCTGATTCAATCTTCCTTTGCTGACAAACCTAAATTCTGATGGAGATTTTGTCAAGAAGGTGATTGAAGTGGTTTCAAATATGTAGTTTCAAAAATCAGATTACTATTAAAGGATTACTGGTTTTCTTTTTGTAGTATATTTTGGCTAGGTTCACCCACATTGTGACTTCTTGTTTTGGGGAAAATTCCTTCCCCATTTTGAGGTATCAATGAAATGAAGAAGACTGATGGATATGTTGATTTGCTGTACAACTTTATTGTTAATTTAGAGATGTTATCTCATTCTCTTTCATTTTCTAACCCCACTCACCAAGCTGTTAGTGCTTCTGGCTTGTGCTGGTACCTGTCCTGTTAGTAGCAGACCACAGCCATTGCCATTTCTCTGCCTGGTGGGAATTATTTTGCTTTCCTTACCTTCATTACTCTCAGTTAGTGAGTCAGTTCCCTTTGTCCTTGGTTCTGCCACCTCTCTGTTAAACAAGGATTTATTTTCGTGGCTGGTGAAAGGTTTGTCCTAACCGATGCCTTGCATCCGCCTGCTGAGCCTACCCTGAATTTCCAAATAGAGATGTATTTTCCAGATACATTTGATCTCTTATTTCAGGGGATATTACAGCATCATTATTTTTGTCTTGCATATGTCTGCAAATGTACATTTGTTTTTTTTAAGATCAAAAGCTCATTTTGCAAAATGTCTAATCTCTGAAATCTGAGAGGCAGCTCTGGCAAACAGAAAGACAAAGTAAAAGCTGACAGCCAGGTTTTATAGATAGATGCATTTATTTGTTATTTGAAGCAAGGAGTAGTTACAAGAGAGGAGTATCCTAGCAGCTTTATGAGATACTGCTTTCTTTTTTGCTTCTTATGGTTGAGAACAACAGTTCACTTAGATGAACAGAGGTCAAGATAATTGATAGAAAAAAGTACTGTTGAAAGACCCCTTTGAGTTGTTTTACAGGATCAAATATGGTAACTGAAGATGGGAACTCCCCTGACTTCTCATTTTTTTCTCATACTTTAAATACACAAGGTATGGCAGGGATAGTAAGATGATTATCTGTGATTTCGGTACACTGAGAAAAAAATATATTACTTACAAGCTTTATTTCTCCTGAGATTCAACCAATACATTTTGTTCAGTTAGCATAATATTGATAACTGGAGTAAGACTGGCATAAGATTATTAATTTGCCGGTGGGTGCATTTTAGTTGTCTGCAGAACATGCAAAGGTTTTATTAAGACTGCCTATAGATATAATGTGAATTGCTACCTATTAGTTCACCTTTATCCTTCAGATAAACACTCAAGAAATCTGAATGAGTGTTTAAAAGGTCAGGACTTGTTTGTTCTCTCACAGTCCACTGAAGACTGTGAGGAAATTACGTGAGATCAGATCCAGCTTTTCAATTTATGAAGTTAAAGAGAGCTGTGTCAGAAGAGTGTAGAATTTCACAACACTCTATTGAATATATTGGAAGGGGTGGGAGGGGAGGGTAGAAAGAGCATATAATTCACTGACATACTTCATCACTTCACATACAGACATCACATTCAATTAAGTATAGAGCTGTCTGTCAACAAACTTGACACATACATGTAGGGAATGTCACCAACCCCCCCAAATTAACATTCATGTTATGATGGACTGACAGCTTACCAACTGAGTCAATGTTCCCTGATTTTCCCTATTCTTGATTCAGAACAGTGCAATGTCCTTGCAGCATGAACAAACTTAATTAACTGAGGGATATGGCTGAGCACAAGCCGAGTCAACAATTTGTACAGCAAAGAAAAAGCTGCATAACGAAATTCAGATCATCAAGAAACTAAAATATAATGCCTTTAAGGAATCTGGAAATACCAGTTCTCAATATCCAAGGAAGCTAAAGTTGTGTTTGTATATAAGTTATCCAAATGAATACAATTTTCCATCTGGAATTAAATCACAATAGACCTAGGGAAGAGGTTATGAGTGCTACCATATTACCATTTTTCTTCTTCTGATACATAAGAACATAAAGGCACTATGCTACCCCATAGCAGAAAAGAGTAATGGGGTGTCTAGCTTGAAAATTGCATCTTTGACAGTGACTAATGTTATATGAATGAGAGATGAAGGTTAAACATGCTTCTTCTAAAACACTACTCTTTATAAATGTAGCTCAATAGGTGTACAGTACATCTGTAAAAGGAGGAGAATATGTAGCTTATCTATAGTGATAATTCTACCACTGTTTAAGAATCTTTCTAAGGGATGACAGCCTTATGCTCAGGACTCTTCATACTATGTGAGTAGTCTAATGGAAGGATGAGCATAGTGGCCTTGTTTATGCTGAGTAGAATAAACTGGCCTCTAAAAATTGGACATTTTTTTTGTGAAGATAAGCTTCAGAATGAGTTTGTCCTTTTGGATCCTTATTTTGGCAACTTGGTTCTACTTAAAAATACACATCAGAAATAGCAACGATTTTGCTTTGGTATGTCTGAAAATGCAATATTGGTTATTTATGATGTCATACAACTGGCCTATTCAATAGGAGCTTTATTATTTAAATACAGTTTCAAAGTGTTCATGAAAGATGCACAAAAGATCACGAAAGCATGCTTATGCAGTGCACAAAAAGGTCTGATATGTTATTTATCATTCGTACACTGCAAATGGCTCAGGTATAATACCTGCTGCCTTAAAAATATTGCCTTGTAAAAGGGCTACTCACAAAATTACTGAATGGAAGTAATTTAGTCTAAACCCCCCTCCTCAAGATAGAGCAGGTTGCTCAGAAAAATGCCCAGATGGCTTTTGAAAATCTTCACAGATGGAGACTTCACAGCTTCTCTGAGCAACCTGTCCCGGTATTTGATCACCCTCACAGTAAAAAAGTGTTTTCTTCTGTTCAGTTTGATTTTCAGTTTTGTTTTTTTTTTTTAATTTGTGCTGTCAGTGGACATTCCTGAGAAGAGTCTGGCTCAGTCATCTTCATTCCTTCCCATGAAATTTTTGTACACATTGATAAGATCCCTCTGAGCCTTCAGTTCTCCAGTCCCAAATTCTTCATAAGCCATTCTCCGGTCTCTTAACCACCTTACTGGCCCTTCATTGGACTCTCTTTAGTATGTTGTCCTGGGTTCAGCAGTAGCAGTCATTTTTTCTTCTTCTTGGTAGCTGGTGCAGTGCAGTGTTTTGACTTTCAGCTCGGGAACAGAGCTGATAACAAGCGATGTTTTGGTTTGGCCAAGGACTTTGTGAGCCTCATGCTCTGCCAGGGAGGAGGGGAGGCCAGGAGGAAGCAGAGGCAGGACACCTGACCCAAACTGACCAAAGAGGTATTCCATACCACAGCACGTCATGCCCAGGATGTAACTGGGAGTTAGCCGGAAGGGCTGGGAGTCTGCAGGGTTGGAGGAGGTATCGGTCAGAGCTTGGTCGGGCTGGGGGGGCGAGTTATCGGTCGGCTGGTGGTGAGATGTTGTATTCTCTTCCCGTGTTATTTCCTTTATCATTATTATCATTGATGGTAGCAGTAGTGATTTGTGTTATACCTTAGTTACTAAACTGTTCTTATCTCAACCCGTGGGAGTTGCATTCTTTTTGATTCTCCTCTCCGTCCCTCCGAGAGCAGGGGGAGGGCAAGAAAAGGGGGGGAAGTGAGCGAACGAGTTACCTGACTGGGTTTAAACCACAACAGTTCTTTTTGGCGCCCAACGTGGGGCACGAAGGGTTGAGATAACGACAGATCTGACCGGATTAATAGTCACTCGTCACAATGCTGATTTATTGGCTCTCAGAGTTGTTTTGCTTGATCTCACAGCTTCAGAATGTTGTAACTTACGTAGAGCCGGTATTTGCTGTGATAGTGTTTATCAAGTATGGGGCCTGGGCTAAGGTTCTTGTCTCACTGTGCTTTATGGCAATGGCTTGTAATACGGGCGGGCTCCAGCAGCAGGGCGGGACGGACGTGGCCGTGGACTTGTACCTGGCCGTCCGGCTGCTCTTCACCGTCCTGGCCCTCACCCTGCTCTCCATCTTCGTGAGGCTGCGGGGAGCCGAGGGGGAGCGGCCCCGGGAGCCGGCGGCAGCCGAAGCGGCCCGGGAGAGCGGCCCCGGGGAGCAAGCGGCGGCGGGAGCGGGGCCGGAGGCCGCGAGGGGACGGCTGCGGGTGGAGGAGGTCGGGGCGGTCGAGGAGAGGAAGGAAGCGGCTGCCGAGCAGCGGGAGAAGGCGGCGGAGGAGCCGAGCCCCGCGGAGGAGCCGAGCCCCGCGGCCGAGCCGAGCCCCGCGGAGGAGCCGAGCCCCGCGACGGCCGAGAGCGTTTCCCGGAAGCCGCCCGCCGAGCCCCAGGAGGATGCAGGAGACCACGCAGCATTTCCCAGCAAGGCAGAGGAGGAAGAGCTGGACTCAGGAAAAGAGAAGCTGGCGGTGGGAGAGCCGGCAAGCACAGCAGCTACACCAGCCCCAGTGACAAGTACAGCAGCTACACCAGCCCCAGTGACAAGTATAGCAGCATCAACTGAGAGTTCTGGAGGTTTTGAATGGCCTTTGGGTATCCTTGGGACCTGCCTGCTGATTGTGATGGGGATCAGCATGTTGGCACACACACAGGCTGTGTTCTACCCACAACCATTTTGTCTGATCTCAAAAGTTAAGCAGAGTCAGGTTTGGGTCTTGTCTGGGGTTAGACGACAATATAGGGGGACCAAGAGATTTTCCCCAGGGCTGGACAGCCGGGAGTGGCAGGGTGTGTGTGACAGTATGGGCAAGTATCTAGTCCACTGGGCCCCTCCAGTGCTTTGGAAGCGTCGGAGATGGAAGGCAGCTGTATGGAGTCCCCAGCAACAAGCTGCAGAAACTGCTTAAGGGGACAGTGAGTTATTTTAAGCCTGGTGGGCCCATGGCACTTCAGGCCATCAGAGCAGAGATGCAACACAGAGATGGACTCATGATCGAGGGGTGGACTTAGCAATGGACACTATTGCCCAGGTTATTCACGAGTGTGAACACTGCACACAGTCTCTCCTGCTCTGGAAGACTGTTACAAGAGATGGAGCCTGACATCATGGACCAGATGGACTCAGCAGCTTTATAGGGACTGGTCCATGCACTAAGATAAGAGTGCACTGAGATAAGAGTGATGGTATATTGAAAATGTGGGATCTGAGCATGACGTGAATGGTATGGAATAAGGGGTGGATAATGTCCTGGGTTCAGCAGTAGCAGTCATTTTTTCTTCTTCTTGGTAGCTGGTGCAGTGCAGTGTTTTGACTTTCAGCTCGGGAACAGAGCTGATAACAAGCGATGTTTTGGTTTGGCCAAGGACTTTGTGAGCCTCATGCTCTGCCAGGGAGGAGGGGAGGCCAGGAGGAAGCAGAGGCAGGACACCTGACCCAAACTGACCAAAGAGGTATTCCATACCACAGCACGTCATGCCCAGGATGTAACTGGGAGTTAGCCGGAAGGGCTGGGAGTCTGCAGGGTTGGAGGAGGTATCGGTCAGAGCTTGGTCGGGCTGGGGGGGCGAGTTATCGGTCGGCTGGTGGTGAGATGTTGTATTCTCTTCCCGTGTTATTTCCTTTATCATTATTATCATTGATGGTAGCAGTAGTGATTTGTGTTATACCTTAGTTACTAAACTGTTCTTATCTCAACCCGTGGGAGTTGCATTCTTTTTGATTCTCCTCTCCGTCCCTCCGAGAGCAGGGGGAGGGCAAGAAAAGGGGGGGAAGTGAGCGAACGAGTTACCTGACTGGGTTTAAACCACAACATATGTCCATATCAGAACTGGACACAGCACTTCAGCTCTGCTTCCTTGCTGATACTCCCCCACTAGGTGTAGGTCTTCCTTGAACCAGACTTTCCCTTTCCATTTTCTTTGTCAGCTGTTCCCTTGCTTCATTCAGCAACAGGCTCATGTTTTCCCTTGACACCCTTTTGCTATTTACGTAATTACAAAATCCTTTCCTATTGTCCTTCATATCCTTTGCCAGATTCTACTTCAAGCCAACTTTTCCTTTTCTAACCTCACCCATGAACAATGGGACATCAACTCTATGCACTCCTTCTGGGTTACCTGCTCCTGCTTCCTTTGCACGCTTCCTTTTGTGTCTGAGTTCTAGTAAGATGTCTTTGCTCTCCATTCAGGCCTCCTGGTGCCTTTGACTGGTTTCCTACTTGTTGGGATGAAACTTTCTTGAGGTTGGAGGATATCTCTTGCAGCCTTCTTTACTTCCAGGGCCACATCTCTTAGGATCCTTCCAGCAGATCTCTGAAGAGGCTGAAGTCTCTTCTCTTGAAATCCATGGCCTCAGTCCTGCTTTTTGCCCTGCCGTCTCTTAAGATCCTGAACTCCCTGAAGTCATGGTCACTGCAGCCAAGGCTGCCTCCAACTTTTATATCCATGACCAGTTCATCCTTGTATGAGGTCCAGCAAAGAACCATTCCTTGGTGGCTACTCAGTCACCTGTGTCAGAAAATTGTTGTCAATGCATTCTAGAAATACCCAAGATTGGATGAGCTCTGGTGTATTGTCCTTCCAGCAGATATTAGGGTGGTTAAATTCCCCATGAGAACCAGGGCTCTTTCCTGTGAGGTTTCTTCTAGTTGTTTGAATAAGAGTTTATCTACTTTGCCTTCCTTCTGCAATAAAGCAAATGAAGTGACAATTTATTGATATACTGGCATTTGGTTATTAAGAACTATTTCAAATACTGTGTTTCAATCATATGTCATGTAGAACAGTTTATTATTTTAGTTTAGCTTATTATGTTGTATTTTAGTAATTGTAATTTCTTGTAATTGTTTGCCATAAACTGGTCAATCTTCATTTTTCACCTTTCTTCATGTACTAAGTAGAATTTTGCTGTCGCTTGTTCCTATACTCTTGACCAGAGACTGCAGTTTCTTTCATTAATGCATCATGTTGCCTTTGTTGTTTACATGCACTTAGGACAAAAGATCCAAATGTCTGTATGTATATACAGTATGATATATAGATAATACCTGTATTCATTTTCTAATGAATATTTTAAAGAAAAAATAACACAAAGAAACATCAGCTTTCCTTAAGTATTATTCCACCTTTTAATAAACTGTTTGTTACATTTGTCACCTACAGAGGAATAAAACCTATATTTTATTATCTTCATGCAAGAAGATATTTTTCTTGTACTGTTCTAGGATCCTGCTAATTTAACATCCAGAAGGAGCTTTATGGTCTGCAAAATGCAAGCATATTTACTAGAGAGTCTTCAAGAGCACAAATTTGCAAGCATTTTGTACTCACTTAAGCTTAGAAGGAAGAAAGTGTACACTAACAAATAAAACCTTTAAAAAGTTCACTGAACATAGCTCCTTTAAATTTTCAATAAGGCTGCTGCTCCAATATAATATTAAAATGAATAATAATATTCATTTTATTAGCACAGATTTACCGAGTGCCATTTTAAATTCAGAGCACAGAGGGGGGACTTTATTTTCTTATTATGAAGTTAAAGACAGGTACACAAAAATAACTTTTCAAGGTCAAATAGCAAGTGAATTGCTGAACTGGCCACAGAGTTCAGATTTCCTGCTATGAAGTCCTGTGTACCGTGTAATAAATCACAGTAAACCTTTCCCCAAGGCTGAGCTCGTTAGTTTGGAATTATAAGTACTGTACCTTTTGCTAATAAAATCTACTTCACTTTTGGGTCAAAATGTGAAGGCTGACACTGTGATGGAAGTTTGTTTCTGTCGTGGTTTAAACCCTAGCCAGACAGCTTGTACACTCACTCCCAGTGAGTGGTGCCGGGCTGAGAGCAATCGAGGCCCCCCTCCCCCCCCCGGGGCTCTCCCCTTCCCCGCTCCCAGAGGAATGGGGAGGAGGATCAAAAGAGTGCAACTCCCATGCGTTGAGACAAGTACAGTCCAGCAACCAATGTACAACACAAATCACCACTGCTACCACCAACGACAACAATGATAAGAGAAAATAACAAGGGAAGAGAATACGATACCACCGGCCAAGAAACAAATCCCACACAGAAGCCCATGTCCTTCTGGGTAACTCCCAGTTACCCCCCCTGGCTTGACGTGCTGTGGTATGGAATACCTCCCCGGCTAGCCCGGGTCAGGTGTCCTGTCTCTGCTTCCTCCTGGCTTCCCCTCCTCCCTGGCAGAGCATGAGGCTCACAAAGTCCTTGGCCAAACCAAAACATCGCTATCATCTCTGTTCCCAAGCCGAAAGTCAAAACACAGCACTGCAACAGCTACCAAGAAGGAGAAAAATGACTGCTACTGCTGAACCCAGGACAGTTTCAAACCACTTGGTTAGGATGCAAAATCATATGAAGCCTTCTTTAAACAACTCAGAAGGCTCTGGCTCTGAAGGGGGAGCTGTGCTCGTGCTGTCCCTGGTGTCTTCTGGAAGAGAAACACAGCAAAACTTAAGGAACTCAGAAGATTTCAGAAGGATGTAAGGGGTAACTTCTCAACACAGGTATTGAGTAGTCTAAGGGTGATGCACAGGCAGATCTGCTATTCACAGACAGGGAAAAACTGATTAGGGATAGAATAAATAATGGCAGCATTGGCTATAGTGACTATGAAACAGTGAAATTAAAGATCCTGAGGTGAATGAAGAAAACAAGCAGCAGAGAATTTACCCATAAATTTAGGAAAGCAATTTTCAGGTCACTCATGGAACTTCCCTTCCAATAGAACTGGCTCCACACCATGAGTGGAAGTAGGAATTATATGGTAGAAGGAAGGCTGGAATACTGGTAACTGAGACAAGCAAATCGGGGAATCTGAGTGTGTGTGGGATACTTTCCCATCAGTTGTTTTTCAAGATTTGCTTCCTCTGGCACTGTGTTTAGCTTGTAATTTGAAGGTTTTGTCTGGTGAAAGGTTGGTTGTCTATATTTTATTTCATTTTTGAGATTCTGCTTATTCTGAAGACTTCTATAGACACTCTATAGAATGCACAGTTCATTTGACTAATAAAGGCTAGAGACTTTATGCCTTAAATGCATTTATTTTTATCATTGACTAAAGGAAAGCTAATTAGTAAACTCAGAATACAGATATTTAATATTAGGTGAGATAAATCCCATCATTATAGCATAAAACTAAGCTGGGATCATGAAGTATTTTTATGTCTCTGACTGGTATTGTCTATCTTGTAATTGACAATTTGCATAAAAAAAGTCACTGTATGGAAGGAAGTCTTGACACACAAAAAATCCATTCAGAATACACCTGCACACTGCTTTAGTTGCTTTATTTTTTCTCTCTAATGTTGCACCTGTACATACACCATGTTCTTTTATCACCCGTGGCTTTTTGGCATAAAAGCAAAGCCATGGAAATGTTACCTTTGTTACAGAAAATGGGTGGACACTCTCTATTTTGTCAAACCAACAGAATACTTGCCTTGTGGCAGGAGACATGAAAAAAGAAGTACAACATGGTGAAACAGTAGGTCCTAACTCATCGGAGCTCACTGTTATGTGCTTGAAAAGCTTTAGGAATACTAAAAATAAGAAACATAACCATGTTTGGGAAACATAGAATAGGAACAGCTGATGTCCTTATCACTTCCCATTTAAATCCCCAAAGGCAGTACTGTTTAGTTTCTTGCCAATAACTTGTTTTTTTCCAGGCATTTTTATATTGCCCCCCCCCCCCCCCCATGTAGATGTTTGTAAAGTAATATCACTGATAAATGGTAAATGGGTCCCAGAGCAATGAGCTTTCAGTCCTTGCTCTTTCATCATATTTTGTTTAACTAGAGAAACCTAAATTCATCTTCCTGCTGTGAACAAATGTTTCTGCTCATATTGCTTAAAATTTGGCAATGATTGTATGAAAAAGGAGACCGAGGTCAAATGCAGAAATGATGCAAGAGGCTCTTAGGCTCTCTTTAATGGTTTGGCTTAAAAGCAGCAAGCTCTTACATCCTTTGCCAGTTCCTAAGAGTGAAAGTTAGAACAAATAGCACTCCTCTGAGTTCAATTTCTGCAAATGCCTCATTTACATGCAGATTTAGCCATGAGGGTTACTGCAACATTTGCTATATTTTGCACCTCTTCTGAACTGTGATTTCACCATTTAAGTGGGATGCCAAAAATTTTCTTCCTTCATCTAACTGATATCTTCACTGAAAAGTAAGGGCATGTAGTGGTATAGAGAGAAAAAGACAGGATGTAAGATCGTGTTGCTGTAAGAATTCAGAGTAGTTGATGTCCTTGAGTGTTATCTCATAA